GAGGGTGGCTCCAATCGCCCCGTGCATGCAGCGCCGGTACATTGGGAGCAGGCTGAGGCGAGCCAGCTAATGCTCAAACTGTCTTATTGACTAGATCTAGCTCATCAGGCACCTAATATCATGCATTTTTCAGCACTTGTCTCGATTTATCCCTCTCCTTTTCCCCGGGGTGTCTCATTAAGAGTCTGATAAATGCTACTACAGGGTGCCTGGGAAAGCGCCAGCCCTCACTGACTCCCCACGCTGCTGGCCCTGGGCAGAGGGGCTGTCCTGTCCCTGTCCCTCGCCCCAGCACACCAGGGCAAGGCGATGCCGAGTGCCCGGCCCCGCTCCAGGCGGGTTTGCTGAGAGCCGATCTGGCAGCTGGGCACAAGACCGCCTGCCTCATTTACATGTGCAATTACCGCGGTTCGGTGCAGTTTCCCTGCTGGCAAACTGTCTGCTGTGAAGCCTCTCCATCTACTCCACGAGTGTCTCCTGCTTTCAATGCCACCTGTGATCCTCACTGCCGGGAGACAGGTGGAAACAGCTCCATGGGTCTCCCTTGGTGGGACCAACCCAGGAGAGGCCATGAGCACATCCTAAAGTCTCTTCCAGTCTAACTCAAGTGACCCAAGCGATGGAGTTTCAACCACTTCCCTGGGGAGATGATCCCTAGCATAACAAACCTCACAGCCAGCGGGTTTATCCAGGCCCTCCGCATACATTCCTCCTGTAGTGGCACATCTAGACCAGACTTCTCTCTCCCCCTGCTACCATCCAGAGACTGGAGGCGTTTTCCCCCGCCAAAGCCATGGCACAGCCAAGGACTTTATAAAAAGGCATTGCCCTGGTCCCCTCCTCACGTCTCTCTCTCCTGCTACTTCTTATCCTCAGACCTGTCCCACACTGGCGATGTGCCCGGAAGCCTCTCCCAAGAGGGACAGGGCTGTACAAGGACAGATGCAGGACAGTAGTGGCACATGAGCTGATCCAAAGCAGCTTCTGAAGAAGGTGAACATGCCCCTGTCACCTGCCCATGTGGCCCAGTCCAGCCAGGGACAGGACAAGGGTGTCAAGTCACGCACATGAATGCAACGTCCCCAAATGCCGCCGTGGGCATTCGAAGGCTGTGCACTGCGCTTCGCTCGGCCAAAGCACAACCTTGTCCACTTCACAGAGCCCTGAGGGAGTTTATCCACAGCGAGAGCTACTCCTGCCTGTCCCACCAACCCCACAGAGCCCAGAGAGCCATCTGCTGGTGTCCTACCTGATCCCACCGGGCACACTGCTGCAGGGGCGGAGGGTGGCCCTGCTGAGCAAAGCCCCAGAACGAAGAGGCGGTAGGAGGTCTGACACTTCCCTGCGACCGGCACAGCTTTTCTCCTCTCTCACCCCTGGAAAACAATCTCCGCTGCATGCTACAGCTAGATTTTTATAGATACAGGCTATCCCTCGACAGAGGCAAAAAGCCAAGTGCATGTAAGTGATATTATAAATCACCTCTCGTTGACGATCACTTGAGCTCTGCACAGACTCCTGCTTGCTCTCATCTCTTGGCTGGAAATGGTTCAAACCCTCTTTATCTTAATGAGGGATGAAATCCCACAAAAACGGCTGCGTGCCACCCCGCCTCGCTGTGCTGACGCCAGGCAGGATCCCAAGAAACGGCTCTGCTGACTGACAAACCCACAGTGGGACCAGAGATGCGTTCACCCAACTGGTGTCATCCCGAAGCAGCAGCAAGACCGAGCCAACGGTCCATGAGTTGGAGCTGCAGCTGTGTAACCCACAGGGCTGCTGGTGCAGCTCTAGCAGGTGGAAGCACTGGTGCTGATGGGATAAATGTTCTCAGTATGGGTTGGGTGAAGCAGTGGTAAAAGCAGTCCTTATGGTTTGGCATCCTCTTGTGCTACCCCCAGTGAAATTGGGAAAAAGGCAAATTCAAGCTAATGGGCTCGCCAATGCAGGCAGGGGCACAAGAAGGTCCAACATCAACTGCACCCTCGTGCAGACGCTGTGGAAAGAGCTGCATCCCCAGCTGCCAAGAAACCCCATGGGGCACCCATCCCCACCAGGGCACCTTTTGGAGGGGAAGCAGCAGCAGAAGCAGAGATGCCTGGAGGAAACGATTCCCTTACAAAGGAGCCTCAGTGTCAAAGAGATGAAGGAAAAGCAGCAGCATTACATGAAGAGTGCAGCACATCAAAGTACAACTCAAACAGGCAGAAATATCCTCCAAGCACAGTGAGGTCTACAGAAGGACCAGCTCCCGGGGCTTTTGCCTCCTGAGTTACACAAGCAGAGGCAAGGAGGGAGGAATGGGGGCCACTCTGAAGGGATTCAAGACTGAGCTGAGTTGCTTCAGATTTATCCTTTCTCCAGGCACCATTTTTATGAAGATCTCAAATGCACTATGCATTAAGCAAATCTGGTCTGGATTTCATTTCCCAATCTCAGCTCTTTCCCCAAAAGGAGACCCAGAATCACTGATGACATATCAGAAGCACAGGATGGGAATGGAGAGCTGGGAAGCAATCTCTGGTCCAGGAGGGAGCAGTGACGCTAAGGAGCACGTCAGCCCAGGCTCTGGGTATCACGCTGCCTGTCCTGGTGAGGCAAGAACCACCTCCCCACCCACACTCACCATCAGAAGCCACCCCTTCCCAAACTCACCTTCAGAAACTTGTACAGTAGAAACGTGAACCAATTCGTCAGCATCTTCTCTGCCACCGACTCCGTTCTGTAGGGAAGGCAGAGAGCAAAGTTGTCAGGAGATGATATTAAAGATCTCTGATCTCACCCGTTGCCACCTCAGCCTTGGACTGTGGTTATATTGGTTTTGGCTTTAAAAGGTCACATCTGGAAAGGCAGGAGCCTCAAAGGAAAGGGGCACAAGCAGACAGCAAAAGCTCTAGTGAAAAGCCTGCCCATCTGCAAGGCTGAGCCACAGCAGCCCCGCAGGAGGGAGAAGCAAATTGGTCTCCGGTGTATTTGGAGATCCAGAGCAAGCCGAGCACAACCTCGTCCCATGGGGAGTCTCGCCCAGGGTATGACCAACTTTCTACCTCTCCCCGGTACCTTCTACTTAAATGAAGTTTGTTTCCTGCATCACGTCCCATTAGAACCAGGCAGCTCCCTCCATGGGAGGATTGTATGAGACACCTAAGCCAGGTAAAATGTCACCAAACCTCTCTCAAGCTCCCCAGTTAAAGCACAACCAGGAGGGAAGAGCTGAGGTTGCAAGGCAAGGTCAGATCTCAACCCACATTCCCACAACAGAAGCACCTCCTCCCAGGTCACCGCGTGCCTGATCTAGCTGGAAGCTCCTCTCCCCACCTGGGAGCTGCTGCTCTGATTTCTGCTCCTGCAACGCACTCAACAGCACTACTGCCCTGGCACAGGCCCACCACTACTGGGTGACAGAGGAGATCCCAGCAACACTCAAAGTAGCCCTTGATCTCTACAGCCTCAAAGCCCAGGACTCACAGTAGAGTGAGAGGACAGTCACCAATACTGGAGGGATAAAGAGAGTTTTCCCCAGCAGCCTGTGCAAGGTCTGTCCAGAAGAACTGCTGGAGGAGAGGACACCTGGTTCTTGGCACTCAGCAGTGGTAACGACAAGCTTTAAGAGGGCAGCCTGGCTTCCCTCCGTGCCCCTGCCTTTGGGCCTGGATCTGGGTGGCTCTCAGGCAGGGATGCAGAGCTCTGCAGTGCAGAGAGGGCACCGGTCCACTGGCACATGCCTTGCTTAAAGCCACCACTGGATTTAGCTCTGGAGACTTTTGATCAAACTTTTCTCCGGTACCAATTCAGCCGAAAACAAGGGGATTAAAGGAGGGAGGAATAAGAGCAGGGGCTGGAAGCTCAGGCTGCTCTCCACATACCTTTGTAGCACTGTGCAGAAACTGTGCCAGGCTTGGGATTTAACCCTTAAAGCCTCTCCCCTGCCTGCATGGTGAAAATCCCAGGTCTCTGTGTGTCTCCTTGGAGTGATGTGGTGCTGTAGCAGTTTACAATGAACGATGCTGCAATCACCTGCTCCAAAAAAGGAGCTTAAAAATGGAGCCATGCCTCTCAGTTTTTGGAGATGCAGTTGAAGGAAGCAGCCAAAACTGCCTTGAGAAAACCTATATATTGCCCCTTGTTCCCTAAAGCATGGTTCAAATCCAGACAGCATCACGCTCCAAAGTAGCATGGGAGGGCAGGTCCGGGGGAATTGCCTGTCTGCCTGGGACTGTCACACCGCACAGCGTGTGCGAGAGGGAGAGCAGAGTCAGCCAGGATGAGTGTGAGACGTGGTGGGCCCAAACAGGACATGGAGACCCTGGGGTGGTGGTACTGCAGCTGCGACATGCCGCACCAGCAGAGGAGGGGGACAGCTGGGCATGGGGGGAGCTGAGGGTGACACATTGTTTTTAAAATGGCTTTTACTCCCTTTAAAGCAAAAATGCCAGCCAGCCTCCTGAAACTCTCCAGTATGCTTCTTCAGCTTATCCACCCATTAATCGGATCAGCCACTTGCAAATGCAGATGCTCCTGAAAGCACAAGCAATACTAATAACTCACGAACGTGGCTGCATTCCTGTTGCACCAGGGGGAGAGACACAAACAGGTTGACTCAAGAGACAAACCCCAGAAGGACCCTGAACATCAGAGCCACCAGGAGGAGTCCCACTGCCCGACGCCATGCACTGCCCAACAGCAATGCCATGCCCAGCAGATGGGCCAGGAGCAGTGCCGGATGGCCAGATGGCTGGGGTAAGAAATCCACTTTCCCAGAGTTTATTCAAGCTGACTCAGGGTCGTATGGTCCCATACGAGGCTTTCTCTTGTGCTAATGGGGCTTAGCCCTTTTTGCCCTCCCTGGAACAGCACAGGTCTCCTTAAACCATTAGGGGATAGTAACACCTGAGCTTCCAGAGGAGGGAAGCCTTCCTGCGTCCTGCTGAGAAAGATTAATCTATCAAGGGGATGAAAAAAGAGAGAAAGCCAAGGAGAGGGTGGACTGAAGCTATTCAGCAGATATACCCTCCCTACCCTCAGACGAGGTCCTCCACAGACAAGCCTGTAACACTGATCTGAAGTGCCATCACCCAGGCTCTGGCAGATGTTTGTCTTTATCTGCGATAGAGCCAGATGCCACAACAATGGGAGGATTGTCCAATAACTAAATAAATAAACAACAGCTCTTCCCAGTTAGATCAATGTTAATCCAGTTGCCCTGGGCAGTAAGCACACTCTCGCGCCCAGCGGCGGGGCTAATCAAGAGGATGGAGAAGCACAACCCTCAGCACCGCTCACTCCGTGCCACAGCTGCAAGAAGAACAAAGTCTCCTTAAATATCATTCATGGAGGCACAAGCAAAGTACCAGCCAGGGGACCTCGTCCCTGTCCTAAGGCTTCCACAGCTCCACCTGCGATGGACCCGCAAACTCCGCAGCTGGGGACCAACAGTCCTTGGGCTGCTGGCTCTCGCTGTGCCGGTGCGGGCTGGGCTCTGCCCCCGTGCCACTCCCACGGCTTGGCCACTGCAGCTGCTGGCCTCCCCACACTGCCTTTTATTTATATTTTATTGATTTGCTTCATTCTGGAGTTCTGCTCCAATGGAAGCGGCTTCCTGATGCTCCAAGAGACCCAGGAGCTAGAAATCCAGTTTAAATGTTTCAGTGAAGCCTGGTGTCACGGAGGGACAGTGAGAAGGGAAGAGCCCAAGGATGCACTTGGGGAACAGGGATGGAGAAACAGGGGTTGGAACCTCCACAACCCACCCCTCTTCCGGCCAGCCACGGGTCTGCACCGCACCCCCTCTCTGGCACATTGCTAATGAGGTGCTTTGAGAAATTAAGAGCGCCCTTGTAAAGTGATAAATGAAGCGGAGAGAGCAAGAAAACAATATGCCTAAAGAGACCAGCTGAGGGAAGGCAGCAGGGATGTAACTGGGACTTGATGATCTTAGAGGTCTTCTCCAACCTTCATGAGTCTATGTGTCTGCTCCAGACACCTCCCCAGGGCCAGGCACACAAAGCCCCACAGGCTTTGTCTGGTCTGGCTGTGCCACGAACATTGGTTGATGTCTGAAAGATGCTGGTTTTTTAAAGCCTTTCTGGTGACATGCCAGCCCCATGGCCCTCAGCCGTCCCTGCATCTCTGCCGGGGGCTGGTGGCACCAGGCTGGTGGAGGTGGAGATGGGGAGGCATGGCACAGCACGGCGTATGAAGGGAGAGGACGGCACGGAGGGCCTCGAGCTAGGTTGGTGGAGCTTATTAATTGTTTTTGCTCGTCACTTGGTATATCTTTCAATATTCATCAGCCCGTGATGGAGGAGAGCTCAGAGCTATCATTAAATATTGATGGGCCAGGCAGACTCGTGGCAGGGCTTGGCAGGCTGCCTCCTGCTCACGCTTGCCCCTGGCCCCAGTGAGACTCCCAGCTCGTGAAGATCTGCTTGGCTTTCCCAGGAAAACCCCCACCTGCCCGGCAAGGTAGGCAAGCCAGGGAAGACAGGTGGGAGCATCACTGCAGCGACACGTGACAGCGCCTGACACCAGTGTGCATCCTCCTTGCAACAGCCTACGCAGCCAGCAGCTGCTGAGCATCTTGCTCCCTCCTTCCCAGACAACGTGAACCTGCACGGGCCAAACCAGAGCGAGGACTTCTCATGGGCAGCTCCTGAGCTGGCTGGGTTCAGGTGGTCCCACAACCCTCTCTCACACAGTCAAGGAAACGCTTCACCACAGACCCAGTGCAGACGTTGCCAAAGCCAACATCAAAGCCATCACTGATGGTATCTCCTAAAACACACATGCTCAGAAAAGACTGGGCACTGTCTCACAGCTCTGACCTCTCAGAGGGACACTCACCTCCGCAAGAGCAGCTTGGGGTGGTTCTTACTCTCCAGGTTCTTCTCAATGAGGTCGGAAAGGAGCTGCTTGAGCACACCCGTGGCGTACTCCATCTCACCCTGCAGCGCCGTCATGATGAGGGAGGCCACGTTGCCACGGTCCCGCATGGAGAAACTCCGCTGAGCCTCCAGAGTGCGGATGAAGGTCAGCAAGAAGTGCTTCTTGTTCAGAAGCTGCCCAAAGAGGGTCAAGGACTTCTCCACATTCGCCTGGACCTGCGAGGATAGAGCAAAGCTGGGAGATGGGCATGAGGGGAGAGCGACAAGAAGGTGGCTGGGCTGCACAAGACCCTGGATTCGCCCTCATGCCCCAAGAGGAAAGGATGAAAAAGGGTCAAAAAGCAGCTGGATTTGCTCTCTCCATACTACCGAGCTTCCTCTTTGGTGATCAGTCTCTGTCCCCTCCAGAAGTATTATCTGGTTTGTAGTATCTCAGCATTGGGTTAACAGAGTCTCAGGGCATCCATGTGTGCATGTACACACACACACACACACACACTCTCTCTCTCCCCCCCCCCCCCCCCCCCCCGCCCCCTTCCATACAAAGACTCTCTCCCATACATGTGCAAGCACATACACACACTTCCCTCTCGTAAACAAACTCTCTTTCTCTCCCAAACACACACACACAAATTAACACACACACACAAATTATAATTTTCAATTTCAGCTAACAAGCAGCTCAATTCCCACCCAAGACGCTGCAACACATGCTTCAGGCACTGCACAGAAAGCAAATAAAGCCACAACCCCAAGCTCCGCTGGCAGTAAACCTGCCTGGTTTTGGGGGGCTGGATTTCAGACAGGGAAACAAATAGCAGAAACTTGTGTCTGCCCCACTCCAGACACAGCCTGAAATATTCCCTTTCCTCTTGAGACATCTGAAGGCGTATTTCTGGCCATGCTTGGCCATGTAGGACCCAGCAGGGACTGGGCTGGGATGCTTTCATCCCTGTGCCACTGTCGTCAGCCCAGCTCTGGTCAGCCTGGACCACATTTCTTATCAGAAATGAGCATTTCTACAACACGTTTTCGCATTAGAAAAGATGGTTTCCTCTGAATAAAAGCCTTGCTGCGGTAAAACATCAATTTTAATGATTTTTTTTTCCCCCTTGTCTTCCTGATTGGGAGAATAAGTGAAAAATTTCATTTCACGTCGATATTTGGAGACAAAACAACACTTTTCATTTCAAAACACCAACTCAAAATGAAGAACAGGGTTTTGACACATCAAATCATTTCACTTCAATCACAACTTTGGATCGGTGCTGTTTGGTTCACCAAAATTCCTCATGCTCATGACTACCCTCTCCAAAATGCTCCTTCCCACCAGCTAAACACCCTGTTTCCCACCCAGTCCTGGTCACCTCTGCGATCCAAGCCCCCAGAGCATGCCAGAAGGGTGATGAGGGAGCGACAAACCCTCTCTGCCCCCGTCCTCAGGGTTCCCCTCGTGAGCACCACACGAGCAAGCACGTGGCTCAATTTCCCTGAACATAGGTCAGAGGACAATGTCCCGCTAGGAACAGAAATGCTTTAAATGATGTTTTCCCAGAGTCCCTCCCTCCGGACAAAGCAGGGACCTCATTGCAACGATGCTGGTAACTCAGGCAGATGCCTGAGGTTCA